ATTGAGGGGAGAGTGGGACATTGCATTGATGATAAGCTGAATTTCACTGCAGCCATGTGTTTTCTTTGTTTTCTTTTATGTTTTAACATTGAGTATCAGGAGTCAACCAATGCCACAAAGATCATTAAAAGCTAAGCATAAGATATGGATGAAATGCATTTAAAGGCAAAAATATTCACACAGAGCAAAGAAATTGTCATAATAATTCTTATAACTTTGTTTACGTTTCTATAATTAGTCTAATTTGCCTAATTTAACCTATAGTTCAGCTTTTAATTTGCAATTTCAACTGAATATTAGTATTTTGCTACGTAAATGACTAGTAAAAATGTGTTATTTAAAAAAATATATCTTAAACAGCACGTACATACATGTTTGCAGAGACTCAATGAATTTGTTTGGAAAACTTCAATTAAAGTAAGTAAAAGTGGCATTAACAGTATAGTAAGAAGGCTTTCCTAAAAAAAAATATAAATCATGTAATTTTTTGTGTTTTTTATTATTACTACAGATTTGGAACGACATGAGGATCAGATTAATTATTATCATTTTTTTTTCCTACGGATGAAGTTTGCATATTTTAATTGTTTTAATTAAACAATATGTGCATAATTGTGACAAATGTAGGCAGTTGCTTTGAAAATATGCTATGCTCCAGGGGTGTCAAACTACTAGAGGGCCGCAGCCTAGCATAATTTAGTTCCAGCCCTGCTTCAACACACTACCTTTAGATTTAGTTTGATCAGGTGTGTTTAATTAGGGTTAAAGCTTAACTGCACTCTTACCCTGTAGATTATGCAGTAAATAACTGCAAAATAGTCAGTGTTTTGCTGTAATGAAAGGAAACAGTGTTTTACTGTAAAAGGAGTAGAGTTTGTATAAAATTGTGTAATGCAAAGGATAAATTACAGTAATTTACTTGTACTGTGACCATAAATGGCAAATTACTGTTCAACCATTACTGTCCCATTTACTCTGATGCTTTATGTTGCTGTTTATAGAGATGTGCATTTTAAAGGCAGAAGACAATGATTTAGGCCTCACCAGACTCCCACAGGTTGTCTCATTCTAAACACAAAGGTGTTAGAAAGAGTTTTCAGAAAATGCTGGCCCTTTAAGGGAATCAGGTGTTTGATTTGTTTACTGCTGAGTGTGCTCTATTCTCTGTCCATCAATTCAGATGTTGAGTCTGATATGTTTTAGGCTTTAAATAAGAATCTACAATGAGTAAGTAAAATGTGTTCAAATGTTTTTGAGGGTTTCTAAAATAAGGCTGTGTTTTAAGTTATATTGTTGTTATCTTGAACTGTGTACTTGAAAGCTACATTGTTAGCTAGTTAGCCTCTCCTCGCTTTAAGTATATTTATTTATTGGGTATTGCATATTGCAATACTGTACAGATGCTAAAAGTTTATGCACATAAAAAACAATAAATTCCATCACCTCAGTAAGGTAACATGTGCACAGAAATCATCACAGGGAATCACAAAAAATATGATACAAATAACTATCCACACACAAAAGCTCCACTGTCCGGTCCCAGGTTGTGAGTTTGTTGCTAAGTATTTTTCAGAGCTGTGTTTCCACCTATGAATTTATATTAGAAACAATAGAAAAGTTTGTGGTCATGAGATTTTAAAGTAGATAATAATTATAACAATGAAAGATTGGATCCTTTGGATTTTCGGTGTTGCAGACTTTATTTTTGTTTTTTATAATTATTTTAAACTTTTTATTAAGAATTGACACAGTATCTGCCTGTGTTTGACAAACATGTTTCTATATATATATATATATATAGAGAGAGAGAGAGAGAGAGAGAGAGAGAGAGAGAGAGAGAGTATGTGTGTGTTCTTTTCATATGCTTATTTTTTAATTATTTGAAACTTTAAAAAAATAAAATAAATATTTTGTGTTTTTTGCTGTTTAGTTTTTTTTTTTCTTTTGCATGGTCAGCATTGAGGAGAGAGAAACACATTTTACTGCAGCACTTTCTGTGTGTGTGTGTGTGTGTGTGTGTGTGTGTGTGTGTGTGTGTGTGTGTGTGTGTGTGTGTGTGTGTGTGTGCATGCGTGCATTTTTTTATTTGATATGTGATTGTGATAAATGTTGGCAGTTGCTTTAAAAATATGCTATATACCATGGGGGTCAAACTCCAAATTCCTGGAGGACTGCAGCGCAGCAGAGTTTAGCTTCCACCCTGCTTCAACATTACCTGTAGATTTCTAACAAGCCTTAATTAGTTTGATCAGGTGTGTTCAATTAGAGTTACAGCTTAAAGTCCCAGTCACACTGCACTTTTCTTCCTCTAGACTTCCATTCATACGCATGTGAATGCTTCAGATCTGGAATGCTAGCTCATGCGAAAAATTTCACTGTTCGCAGCATTGGAAAGTTCAAGCTTGGAGTTCTCTGACCTGCGAAATCACATCATTGCTTGAGACCAATCAAAGATCAAAACATGACCTGTCTGAACAAAAATTTAAACTATGGACCAGTCGCTTGCTTTTTCAATCTCTAATTATTTTGTTTAATCCCACTACTTTTCGCAGTGCCGTATGATAGAATTGTGCATGCTCAAACGTTAGTGTGACCGCAGCCTTACTGTACAGACCTGTAATATGTAAGATGATATTTATATCTGCTGATTTCTTAATTTTGTTATACATTTTCTGTTGTATATTTGTTTGCTGCCAAAACAATAAAATGCATTTGTCTAAATTTGTATGCCTTCTATTTTTAATAACATGTAAGAATACTAATTAATTTTAGTAAGACTATGACATACTATTAATGTGTATGCAGTATAATGCTGTGAGTTGTAACCCTACAGTAAAGTAATTAACTGTACACAGTTTCCAGTTAGTTACCACTACTGCTCTATTACAGTAATTAACTGGCAACACTGTTGCCAGCCACTCACTGTAATGGTTCAGTTACAGTAAATAACTGGCAACACTGTTGCCAGCTACTCACTGTATTGGTTCAGCTACAGTAAATAACTGGCAACACTGTTGCCAGCCACTCACTGTAATGTTTCAGTTACAGTAATTAAATGGCAACACTGTTGCCAGTTACTTACTGTAACCAAACTTTTACAGTGAGTAACTGGCAACAGTGTTGCCAGTATTCTACTGTAAAAACGCCCGGTAAGGTCTAACAGTGTGCTATGCAGATGATACTCAATTATATACTTCAACTAAACCTGACGAGACGTCTGAACTGTCTAAACTAACTGAGTGTATTAGAGATGTTCAAGACTGGATGACCAACAATTTCCTTCTCTTAAACTCTGACAGAACAGAATTATTACTTATTGGGCCTAAATCCTGTACACAGCAGATCTCACAACTCTACAATTAGAGGATACAGAGTTAGCGTTAGCGCTACTATAAAAGATCTGGGTGTCATATTAGACAGCAGCTGAACATCAGATCTCTTACGTCAGAGAAACTGTCTTCCTTCATCTGAGAGATATCGCTAAGTTATGAAGAATGCTCTCCATCTCAGACTCAGTAAAGCGAGCTGATGCTTGTATGAGCTCTAGATGAGACGACTGTAATGCTCTGGTGGTCCAGCATCCTCTATTAATAAGCTTCAGTCAGTGAATCTGCAGTTCTCAGCAGCTCCAGCAGATATGTCCACATCCCCCCAGTGTTCTCCTCCTGACACCGGCTGCTGTTCAGTTCAGTATTGATCATCAATTATTGCTTCTTACCTATAAAGCTGTGAATAACCCAGCTCCTGCTTATCTGACCCAGCTTCTGTCTCGCTACAACCCAACCCGCTCTTAAAGATCTCTAAACTCCCAGAACAGCAGAGTCCACTAAAGGAGGTCGAGCCTTCTCATTTATGGCTCCTGAACTCTGGAATAGTCTTCCTGATAATGCCGAGGCTCTGGAGATTGTGCAGTGCCAGTGATGCGATCTAAGAGCAGTGATGAGATGATGCCAGCCATCAAGGACAACACACACACTCACTACACAAACACACTTCATTAAACATACACACACATCACCTGTACACTGTACAACTGAAGGATAACTGTGCTTATATATATTAAGTAATTCATTAGAGTTATCAGTAACTAATACACTTATTGTCACTAATAACTAAGTCCACACGGAATCTGTGAGTTTCTGCAGATGTTTAGTCCATCATTAACTCTGTTTTTTACTTGAGTAAATGAGTGTAGATCTATATTTATTCAGTTTTTAAACTATTTTCACTAATTTTATTGACTGATGTTCATGTGATTTATGTACAGTGCCGTGTGTACAGTCATATTCTCTGTCTTTCAGTAGAGATGTTATATCAGAGACTTGCTTTGTTTGCCAAATAAAGTGGATGTAATTGGATTTGCGTTTTAAACATTAAATAAAACTTTAAAAGATTTAATTGTTTATTTATTTAGGGTTTTAGTTAGGATACTTCCAAAATAATTCAGCAGAAATCCGCAGATTTTTACCAAAAATCTCAGCAGAAATAGCAAAAAACATCCACAGATACCGTCTGGCCATATAATAACCTTCAGCTTCCTGGTTTTGTAATCTGCATCTCTGTAGAGCTTCTCTGAAACAATAATGATTGTGAAACAGCGCTATACAAATACACTGGCATTGTACTGAACACACACACTGCCAAACACACACACACACACACACACACAGTGGGAGGGTTTCCCCAACGCCCCTTCACTAGCGTGAGCATCTCTACAGCAGCAGACGGCAGAGGAGTCGTGACTGGAAGAGACGCATTCTCTGCTCCTTTACTCAGCGCACCAGTGGGGTTCTGTCTTCTGTTGAACACAAAGGGAGATACTCTGAAGAATGCTGGAGTCATTCTGCTCCTACTATTGATGTCAAGAGCTGCTTTTGAGCAGCATTCTTCAGAGTATTGTGTTCAGCAGAATACAGAAACTCATGTTAGGTGATGTGTGCCTTTAACCCGAAACACTGAAGCATCCTGAGTACACCGAGTAGGAGAAGCTGGTCATCTGCTAATAATAACTGCAGATAAACTGTGCTGTGATCAGCTGTAGTGAGTGACCTCTGCACTTCATCAGTGTGTGTGTGCTGATCAGATGATCTGACAGATATAAATGTGTGTGTGTGTGTGTGTGTGTGTGTGTGTGTGTGTGTGTTTGCGTCAGTAATGTTGGTCTGCAGCTCTCCACAGTTGCAGATGTGAAATGTTGTTGTGCTGATTGTAAAAGGCCTCCGTCAGTCTGCATCACAGTGCTTCAGTATTCTTCATCTATTATTATTATTCCCTCCAGAACTGTCTTGATCATGTGTCTGCGCTCTCGTCTCACTCCTCCAGAAGCCTCCACATTCACCGTGTTCACTGCGTTTGGTCTTGGTGTTCAGTCTCATTTATTAGTGGAGAATCCCCACAGTGCAGCAGACCCCACTGCTCTCAGTCAGATCTGTGCAGGAGCTGAGGAGGAGATGCTCTACTGTGCAGCACTGATGGAGACGCTCCTCCACTCACTGATGATCTATTCAGTATTAGTTTGTGTCTAACTGACATCTCTGAATGGAAACACAGCTAGAAACACCTTCACACCCTCACAGCGACGCTTCTGCAGGCTACAATAGAGGAGTCCTCGTCCTCTCGCTGATCAATGATGAGTTAATAAGAGCAGCAGTGCAGTGATGATGATGATGATGATGAGGATGATGATGATGCGCAGTGGTGTGAGGAGTGTGTGTGCTACTGTACTCCTGCAGCAGACTCTACCGTGTTCACTACAGTACAGCACACTGTGCTCTTGACCTGACTCTCTGTGGCCTCATTCATCTGACACTGCAGTACAGGACCTGAAGGACAACCGGCAACGGCTTCCAGATAACCCACGACCCAGAACACACGGGAACTAAACAGCCCAGCACACCGGCAGAAGGAGAACACTGACTGAACCACTGACCGCTGCAGAGCGACGCCACTGACGCATCTCATTATCAAAACAGCCGGTTGCCATGGGGTTGCTAAGTTGTCGTTAGTGTTTTCTAGGTGGATGACAGGGTGTTGCTATGTGGTTGCCAAGGTAATGACATGAGGTTGTTTTGGTTTTCTAGGTGGTTGCCAGGAGGCTACTATGCTGTTGCCAGGGTAATAGTATGAGATTGTTTTGACTTTTGATTGCCAGGATGTTGCTATGTTGTTGCCAGGGTAATGACATGAGGTTGTTTTGGTTTTCTAGGTGGTTGCCAGGGTGTTACCATGTTGTTGCCAGGGTAATGACATGAGGTTGTTTTGGTTTTCTAGGTGGTTGCCAGGGTGTTACCATGTTGTTGCCAGGGTAATGACATGAGGTTGTTTTCGTTTAATAGGTGGTTGCCAGGGTGTTACTATGTTGTTGCCAGGGTAATGACATGAGGTTGTTTTCGTTTAATAGGTGGTTGCCAGGGTGTTACTATGTTGTTGCCAGGTTAATGACATGAGGTTGTTTTCGTTTAATAGGTGGTTGCCAGGGTGTTACTATGTTGTTGCCAGGGTAATGACATGAGGTTGTTTTCGTTTAATAGGTGGTTGCCAGGGTGTTACTATGTTGTTGCCAGGGTAATGACATGAGGTTGTTTTGGTTTTCTAGGTGGTTGCCAGGGTGTTACTATGTTGTTGCCAGGGTAATGACATGAGGTTGTTTTGGTTTTCTAGGGGGTTGCCAGGGTGTTGTAATGCTGTTGCCAGAGTAATCACATGAGGTTTTTGTTGTATTCAAGGCGGTTACCAGGGTGTTGCTATGTAATTGCGATGATATTGATAAATGGTTTCTAA